AAAAGACATCAAATTTCAATATGAAAATTTTGAAAATGGGACAAATCACATGAATGTAGTCTTTAAGTGTCTTGCACTGTACTTACTTTTTTTTTCATAAAACGAATAAAAAATAAATTTAAAAAGCAAAAACCAATGGCTTTTTTATAAATGAAATTTATTCTTCATTATTTTGAATATTTATTTGTTGATCTCTTCGTTTTTCTCTTATCTTTTAAACTTGCAAAACAAAAAAATAATAAATTTTCTGTACGATTAAATATAACCATAACTTTTCATATTGATTATATCAGTTATTGTAATTTGTTACCTAAGATCTTTTTGTATTCTTTCATTTCGGATAAATTAACCTGGTACGTTTGTTTTTATGAGTAATATTTGATCTGTGATATGTTTCGCATGATTGATCATAAAACTCTTGGCATTTCGATGTTTTGGTAGTTTCTTCAAAGTGTCATAATTTACGCAGCTAAATTATTCATCGTGGTAATTTTCATTGAATTAATACCAAATTTCGTCACTTGTGTAGAGGGAAAAATTAGTGACAGTACGTAAATTATTTCAACCTATATAGCTACGTAAATTCGCTCTCATAAAAATCTGCAAAACACCGTAATCCCAAACCAATCAAATAACTTTACTAAGCATAAACTCAAAGAAACTGATTTGGTTATTTTAAATGATGGAAATAATCATATTGAATTTGAAGGCTGAAAAAAATATTTAGAGAATTTTACCCAATATATATTGCACTGACAGATCAGATATCAGGTGTGTTGCATTGTATATTGCCGTGGGTAATATTTCGTTCCTCGTACAATGTAATTAACTTTTTGACATAAGTTCGAAAAAGAGAAGCTTTTTAATACTCTTTGTAGTAACTACAATTTTATGGAGAAGTTGGCGCAAATACAAATAAATAAACAAATAACAGTATCTTTTCTTTGCTTATAGTTATCCTTTAATTATAAATATATTTTTAATCAGTATTTATAATATTTTATGCTTTATTTTCAATAAGCTATATATAAATTTAAATCACATACATAAAAGGTGTGGGCGAAGATGTCACTCAAATACGCAACAGCTAGTTTATACATGAATTTGGATTGGAAAATTTTGCATTTTCCTCGTAGAAATTCAGGTTTCACAATTATCGAATTAACTTTAGAATCGAGATACAAAATTATACATCTAAATAAAGTAAAATGAATTAAATACGTATGTATATACACACTTTTACACTGATTATGTTTCTGTTAAATTTCTTATATTGGATATATTATATCGATACGTATAAACATAAACTTTGCTGGATTTGGTCATATTGGAAATTTTAACTACCCTTTTTTTATTTTATCTCAATCATTACAGATTTTAATGATTCAAGTAACGCACAATCTTTTTTTGTCCGTTTTTGGCATTTAAAACTTATATATAATTAACATAACTAGTATTAACAGTATATAGTAAAATATTCGCTTCTAAGTGAAGTTCTTGGAGGTGTGGCGATTTTTTGGTTACGTTTCTAAAAAAAGTACTTTAAAGTGTTATCCGGGCACAGGGACGATGATTTTTTGTGGCGGTATAACATAAATTTTGTGGCGGTATAAGATTTTTGGTGAATCAATTTGAAGCGATCTTGTGTAATTTTGTGGCAGTATAAAGTAAATTTTGTGATTTGTTGTGGGTCAGTTTGAAGCGATTTTGTGGGTTAATTTGAATTTTGTGAAATTTTGCATGACAGGTAAAATGTTTTTATTAATATATGAATGACGCCGAGGGAAAAGGGCATCTCGGAAATTTATGTATATTACTGATTAAGGGCTTTCAATTTTATAACCGTTAATAAACGTTATCAAATTCTTCAAACCAAGAGTGTGATTATAAAGAGGTTTGATTGTACTGTCAAAAGCTCTATATAAAAATATGAAAGAAACTATCATTATACAAAATATGAAAAAAAAAGTTCTATATAAAAATTTCTATAAATAATGAAATACATCATAGATAATTGTTTGTGAATCTTTAGACAAACACAGCTTGGTACGGGTAACCAAATAATAATTTCAAAGATAGCTAGTATTTTGAATTAAAAAAAAAAAATACTATCCATATATAATATTTGAGCTCTTTCACGGCGAATATATGAAATTTGCTAGAAAAAGAACTTAAAATGAATTGTTTTATTGTGTATACATATCGATCGATCGATATATTTTAAAAAAAAATTTGATCGAATTTGTGATTATCGTTATCGCAAAATTTTGTGAGGCAATTGATCTACATCAGCCAATCAGCGTGCGTATATAATTTTTTTTTTGTAACAAACGACATATTTTTTCTAGCAAAAAAGTTACCATAGAAGAAACGACGTGTGCCTTTCGCTAATCAACGAAAATAGCCTACGCTTTATTATAAAGAATACGCAGAGGTGAGCATTTTCTTACTGGCTGTTAGCGTATCTCATGTCACAAGTACGCTGCTCTATTAGGATGAAGTATGGAATTAAACCCCCATATGTGTGCTGCAGAGCGAAAACCTGTAACTGACGGTTACGGCACGATTCCCCGAAAGCCATTTACCCGACAGGACATTTACCCGACATCACACAGGTGACAAATTGCTAAAAATATATACCTACAGCTAATTAAATGCTAAACCTAACCTATGTGATGTCGGGTAAATGTCCTGTCGGGTAAATGGCTTTCGGAGAATTGAGCGACAACCGTAACTGACCATGATCAGTTACAGGTTTTTGCTCTGCAGCACTCATATGGATGAACGAGTGTAAGGCATTTGAGGCTGTAATGATGACATCTTTAATACTCATGATTGGTTTTTTATTTTTATTTTTTAATCTAACTTACTATATAAGAAAGGAATGACGTGTGCTTTTCGCTAATCAACGAAAATAGCTTTATTATAAAGAGTACGCAGAGGTGAGCATTTCTTACAAGTACTCTGCTCTATTAGGATGAAGTATGGAATTAAACCCCCATGTGGATGAACGAGTGTAAGGCATTTGAGGTTGTAATGATGACATCTTTAATACTCATTATTGTTTTTTTGTTTTTTTTTTAATCTAGCTTACTCAAGAAGAAGAAATGACGTGTGCCTTCTGTTGTTTGACGAGAAAAATAGAATTAGTAGAGGCGAGCTAACTGAGTATGGGTTGTTTAGCGTACCTCGTGTCACAAATACGCTGCTTATTGATGAAGTATGGAATTAAACACCGAACGAATGTAAGGCATTTGAGGTTGTAATAATGACATCGTTTAATACTCATCATTGTTTTTTTTTAAAAAAAACATCTACCTTACTATAGAAGAAACGACGTGTGCCTTGATTATAGAGAACTCACAGGGGTGAACGTTTTCTTACTGAGTATGGGTTGTTTAGCGTACCTCATGTCATAAGTACGCTGCTCTATTAGAACGAAGTATGGAATTAACCCCGCATGGATAAACAAGTGCATTTGAGGTTATAATGATGACATCTTTAATATTCATCTTTTTTAATCTAGCTTATTTTAGATGACGTGTATCCTTTGTTAACCATCAAAGTATTCAAGAGAATTTCAGTCAAAGATGAAATAAACGGAGAACCGGATTTTATGAATTTGCAATATTAATATAACAATTGGGAATAATAGTTTAATAGGAAGCTATGTAATCAATTATCTATGTAATCAATTATAATTTTATTAAAAGAGTCACCTATACTGCAAAAAATTCTACCTTTATATCCAATATCTTATCTACGAAACCCACAGGCTGTTTATTTCTATCCAAGTTATCACTATTTCTCATAACATGCTTAGTAAACTTAAAATCTTGCATATGATTGGATCAATTTTTTTTATCACATGTTTTCGCTCATATGAATACTACAAGTTTAATCAATTGACAAGATCAACGATACTTTTAAATAAATTTCATAAAATAATTGGGTAGTATAATTATAATTATAAATATTAGAAAGTTCGTTTCACAGTCTTACACTTGAGTCTTTAATACGTATCTAGCATTTTTGGTTTAAGCACGACACGTCACGCAAAATACTTTCAACTTTGTAAAGCGATAGATTACCTCTCATGCGCCCAGTTTTATATATCGGGTATTTGGGTAGTGACAACAAAATTCTTAAATAAAAATCTTTATTAGAAAAATTTTTTAAAGAAAATTAAATCCAGATCGCCGGATCAACTAAAAGTTACGATAGTCGGCGAGATGAAAACTGATAATATAAGTTTATGTAGTCTAATTTGAAAAATTTTTATTAATTAAAAATAATTAAAATTCAGACTGTTATGTTAACGTTAACGGTCTTATTTAAAAACAATGTTTTACTTAAAAAAACCGTGCGGCCGGGTCACAGATTATTGTCCCATGATATGAAAACCAATTGTATAATTTTGTGAGGCCTTATCTAGGTGGTTTTTTTAACAAATCAAAAATTTTTTGAAAATAAAGTTAAAGTCGGATGCCGGGCCACCTTTTTAAACAAAAACTAATTTTATATAAAGTACGTAATTATAAAAAAAAATGTATTGCGATTAGCATATTTCATGAAGATGCCAATTTAAAGCCCTAAAAAAAAAAAGACGATTGCTATTTGTACACCAGGTGTATGTACACACATATATTTGATATCTCAAAATTCTGATTATATAATAGCTTTTGGGGTTCTAACAAAAAATATTCCTTGCAAAATTTTAGTATATACTATAACCTTCTCTAACCCTAAAGCTACCCTCACTCTAACCTTAAGCTATACTAATTTTTCGTTTATAATTTATATATTACACAAATTCGTAAATCAATAAATTAGTATGTGTGTATATACTCATGGTGTAAATTAAGAAATTTTCAAAAAAAAATGTACCCCAAAAAATTTTATCAGGGCGCGTAAATTTCAGATTAAAGTATCGGGTGTAACGATAGCATAGTTAACTTAGAGATCATTAAATTCGAATCTTAATAAGCAATCTTATAATTATGCCTGAGCTTATCAATGCAAATCCTACCGTCTACAAGCCTTTAAAAACTTCTCACCGAATTCTAACAGAAAAAGAAGAACAAGAGGAGTTTGAAGACATAATCGATTCCCAAGAAGTATTTGGTCGGTATAATTGAAAAAAAAAAAAAAACTGTTAGCTGTTAGATCTTTCTTTTCACAGTTATACTAATAAATATTTTTTAAAAAAATTTATACAGATCTAATCCGTTCAATATCAGACCCCGAACATCCCTTAACTCTTGAAGAATTAAATGTAACACAACTTGATCACATTAAAGTTGACGATGCTAATTCTTACATTAGTATTGAATTCACTCCAACTATACCACACTGTTCCATGGCTACTCTAATTGGCTTATGTATTCGTGTAAGGCTTTTACGGAGTTTGCCTGAAAGGTTTAAAGTTGACATTATGGTTAGAAAAGGTAGTCATCAATCTGAACAAGCTGGTATGTATTTTTTTTTAATTACAGTTTGGTTAGATTATTTATTTTATTGAATAAACTAATAAAGAATGATAATTCTAAACAGTTAATAAACAGTTGAATGATAAAGAACGTGTTGCTGCTGCTTTGGAAAATAATCATTTATTGGAAGTTGTAAATCAATGTCTGTCAAGTGCAAATAAGCGTGGGAATATTCGTTGTTAATTCTTTTGCATAAGTTTTCTTTGGTAAAGATATTGTTGAACAATCAAAATTTTTCAAGAGTTATATATCACATATATAAAAATATTTAACGAATCATATATAGTATGTAATATGTAGTAACGACATAACTTTAAATATTTTAAAATCCATTAAAAATTTTTAATGCAATTTATTTATAAAAACAATTTGTTGTGGAAAATATATAAAAAAAAAAAACGTTAATGCATACTTATCTTGATTTAAGAGTTAAGAGTTAGTAAAAGTCAGTTCACAAATTGTGACTGATCTAAAATGTCTATTGAATGTGAATCATATGACATCCAAATTATACATATCTAGGTTATAAACTTGAAGTTCTAAAATATATTATACAATAAACTTGCTAACAAAAATGTATAAGATATTGTAACAAAAAGTGAGAATAAGTGAATGAACAACTAAAATTATAAACTGTTTTTGATGATAAAGATTGATATTTAGTTTCAGAAATGCTAAGTTCGATATGGTGGGTTTACTAAACTTGTCGTACTGCAAATAAAATTTGTTTCATTAATGATAAATGAATTCCAATAGTGCAAACCTATAATCAGCTATAATCAGAGAAAACATACCTCGAAGCATTCTTTGTACCTAAAGAGTGTAAAAAGGCATTTATATCGCTTTTTTTGTTATCGCTTTTGTTTTTCTTTTTTCTTTCGCCCATAAACGTGTTGTTTGAAGACTCAATGTCTGATGCCACAGATGTATCATGCTCAGATAACTCAGTGTTTACTATGAATAATCAAGTGTAATGAATTTATTATTACAATTATTATTATTATGATTATTATTATTATTATCGATTATACTTACCAAGAGCATCTTTAAGGTTTTCCACTTTGATGGATGCTTTCGGCAAATCACCAGAACTGTCTTCTAAAGACATAAATGACGTAATAGTTATACGAGGCTTATCGCTCTCTAATATTCTACTTGATCTGATTCGGTATCCTTCTTGTTTAACACTTTCAAAACCTTCCTCTGGTTTCCATTCTGTCATCAACCTGACTTCTAAATCTTTACCACCAATATCCATTAATTCCTTATGTTGACAAAGCATTGATACAATTGTTTGTCGATCAAGCCAAACGTCAACAGGTTGTAAAGCGCAATTATTTTCATCAAGAGTTTCTTCCTCAAAAGACTTCAACATGTTTGTGTTATTTATATTGTTTTCAGACGAAATTGCATTTATATAAGTCGACCATTGACGTTTGTCCATACGTTCAGCTTGGACCTGATACATAAAATAAAATATCGTTATAATTCTGTATTATCGTAAAAATATAACCATTTAATGAATTAATATTAAAAATTACCCCATCTATATATTCATGTAATTTTGGGATATCTAATACTGAGGCAATATCACGGAAATATAACAAAATAACACTTGCTAATGTTCTTTGCTGAGCAAAGCCCTCAAGGTTTTCATCTTTAGCTTCAGACTAGAAATGTAGATAAATTGTAAGAACGCACATAATTTTAAACATAATTTACATAATTAATTATTTTTATTACCTGTAATTTGAAGACGACTGGAATACCACGAATTATTTGATCTGCCCTGAATCGAACCAATAAAGCACGCAATAATGATAATAAGGCCACATGATCAGCAGGTTGTGAATTTTTTAACATTGCATACTGATATAGTGACACATGAAGTGAATTTAAGAAATAGATAGCTGGTTTGTTAAAGTAAGTTAACTATATAAAATATTTAAAATATATAAAATAGGACATTTAAAAATTTAATAAAAAGATAATTAATTAATTTACGAATAAAATCATATAATTATTATAATTATTACGGAAGTTAACCTGTGTCGAATCCGCTTCCTTCAACTCTCTTGGCATATTGCCATTATCCAAAAATCTTGCAAGAACTTGGGCATATGCAATCCTTACACCTAAATTTAAAGATAAACCCTTTTAGCATCCGACTAATTACTATTATATTGATCGTAAATAATACAGAACAAATTAACATACCTATGTCTTCATCCATACACAGGTCGATTGAACTATGAAATACCTCTACGGGCACTTCACATCTCGTAATTTCAGAATGTCTTATTTCATTTTCTTTATTAGTTCTTACGACTATATCTAAACATTTTAATAATGTTTTACGTAATTCGGGTAATGGACAACCTTCCATAATTGAACTATGACTACTTCCTTGTTGAGAGTTCTCAATTTGTTCAGGGTGTAAACGTAAATGTTGAGAGTTCTCAATTGGTTCAGGGTGTAAACGTAAATGTTGAATAATATACTCGATGATATCACTGATTTGATTTGCATAATAAATATGAGTTGCCAAACCGCCTATAAGTTAAAAAGAAAACAATAAATTTAAAATTTAAATGTTTAGAAACACTAAATATTTGAAAATTCCAAGATATTAACCAATGCAGAAGGTGAGTTGTTGGCAAATTAATAAATCCGATTCATTAACATTATCATTTTCATTAATGCAATCATTATTTTTCAAAGAACTCAACAATAAACGAAGCAGACAATCTAAAACTTCAAGTATCGAAAGCCCAACAAGAGGGATATCGCCAGTCAATATGAAAGTTAAGGCTTTAACCAGAGAGACCTTTTTTGGAGTAGGACTTGATCCAGTTGGTAAAGCTTCTAATTGCTGTATTATGTAATCAACTAGTACGTATCTACATTGTTGCTAATGAGACAATCGAGTTCGCGCATAATAACTTTGTTTAGAATAACTTAATTTAGATGGCATAATTAAACCAACAAATTTCAAACGAAGAATACCTTGAGAGATGAAAGAATAGTTGAAGTTAAACTGATAATAAAGGTATTTTGTGTCCACATTGCATTATCGTCCAAAAAATTAAAAGCAGATTCAAGAGAATAATTTATGTAAGAAGGATTAGACACTTTGAATAGTTGTTTCAAACAATTATAAGCCAGATTTGTATTATCTTTGACTGATATAGTTGTAAAATTAGCGGAGAAACGACGTAATTCATTAACCGACTCATTATTACTTTTTTTTTTTTTTTAAAAAAAAAGTAATTAATATATAAATGTATAGAATTCTATGAATAACTTAGTACATTAATATTAACACTTACGCTTTTTGCAAGGTTTCTAATCCATTCGGATCATCAATTAAATTATATAAAATTGCCGGAACAATATGTCGCAATTGTACTTTAGCACTGGTAGAATGTAAAGCGTCGGAAGTTACCGCGCTTTGAAGAGCATAAATACCGATAAACCGACACCTGATTTTAGAAATTTTAAATCATTTACTTCTTAAATAAGAAAAAAAAACATTTAGTAAATAAAGAAGTACCTTTTCTCATTATTAGCATCGGATTCTTTAATGGTTGCGTATTTTGCAAACAATTCAATTAAACCTTCGTAAATTTCAGTAAATTCAGTGTCGACACCAAGCGTAGAACCGTCATAGTATTGGCAGAAAGTAATGAACTAAAATAGTGCCAGTAATTCATAAATAAATATATATATATTTGCGTTAACATGCAAACATGAAACATACCACAGAAGTAGCGCAAGCCACCAAATCAATATCGTTTGTACTCAAGGAGGAAGTAATGATCTTTACAATATTCTTTGAAAATAAGTTCAAGTTTTTATGGCAAGCTTCCAGAAGTGCCCTAATAATTTGTAAAGAAATTTCGGTATCCCTAAAGCAGAAAAGAGTTAGTCATAAATCGTAGATCTATTGTGTATATATATATATATATTTAAACAGCTCCTTACTGTTTCCTGCGTTTTTTGACGTCGGTAGTTACTCTTTTTTCCAGATAAGCACCACATTTTGTGAGTTTAGCAGGCTTCGAGTTTGCATAAAACACGAGATAAGAAAGTTCACTAGATCTGGGACCCGTCTCACCAGAATTGATAGGATAACAGTTGTTTATAAGAGTAGCATGCTTGGCCCAACTTTTACATACGCCAGCACAAGCCATAATCGAATAAGAGAAAGCTAATTTGAGAATATTAGAATATTATAAAAGGAAAACGAAAAGAAGGTAGTCTTTTCTAGGCAAGACAAAAAAAAAAAATCTAGAAAAATTGGAGAGAAAAAAGAGTGTAAGACCTTTAGACGAAAAAGACGGGTGCCCTCCTTAATGACGGGTTTTAAGTTTTGAATAAAGACTAATAATGCTAACTATAACTATAATAACTATAAGATAACGAATTATTGTGATACACTTTTGCAACTGAGGAATTTGAGGAATTGAATAATTAATCAATCATAAATAGTAAACCAATTGGGTGCGATGCATTGTCCACCTGTCAAAACTTTAAATACTTGAGGAAACTGTTAATTACGAGACTAACATCCTACATGCTAAAATTAAACCCAAAAGTCCGATCCGTCGGATTTTATAATTGTAATTGTTAGGAATTTTTGATAGTTACTCAAACTATCAGAGATAATTAGTCTCATAGTTCAGACAATAATTAGACAATAATTAGACAATAAAGTGATGATAAAAAAAACAATGTGATACTAATCGTCACATGGTTTCCGTCGGGATTTTATTTCGGGAATTTGTTTGTAACATTATATATACTCTAATATTGGATAAGGCTCTTGATTAGGTCCAAATAGCAGATCATGACCGAGATTTCAGTAAATTGACTATAATTCATCTGGTTCAAGACCAGATTCTTGGCTATTCATATTCGCCAATGAAATGTTAGAAATGTTAATTGTTTGGATAATCGTGATACAATATCAGATATACTTATGTATATACGTTAACTATTTTTTTGTCTGACTAATCTACAATATATTGTATAAAGAAGGGAAATTCCTACGTATCCATTACGTATGACAAATTCTCCCGCTTTATTTAGAAATACTAATACGTACAATAAATCTATAAAAATGGGCTAATATCTAAACTCTAAGGCTGAACCATAGAAACTATTTCAGCATTGATTTTTACAGTAAGATAAAATTTCTGTTATTTCCGAAATAATACATTTCTCTACAGCATTTATAATGTAGCTGAACCCATTTTACTCAAAGAAACTAAAATTAATCAAACCATGAAAAAAACACTAAATGCTAACAGCACCTGCATCCTAGAGGCCTGCACGGGCCGGGCCGAAATTAAAAACCTCACAAAATTGCGGGCCGTGCGGACCGGCAAAAGTACAAATTGTTAGGCCCGTACAGGCCCCTACAAAATTTCACAACCAGATGACCTATGAAATTATTAGCACATAAAAACTCCGTTATTTCTGCCAAATTCGGTATATTACTAAACAGAAAATATCAACGTATGGTCAGCGTAAATTATGTAAGTCTGGTTAAATTGTACGTACGTGCGTATAACGATAAGTTTTTAATTAATATATACCTGATACGTATATATAATATATATATCTGATATATATATTACCTAAATACGTAACTGTTTTAAATTACAAATGTACCGTTGAACCTCTTAAAATGAATCAATGATTGATCACTAAGTTCAATTTTATACTTTTTTAGATAAATTTGTACGTAATTTAAATGGTTATTACGTACATAGTAGTTTTTCTTTTTTGCCAATATTTACGTATTTACTTCGGTATATCGAGATGTTTTTTTTAGTAGGTAGTGCAAAACACTGTTATCAGTTAAGACCATATATATGTTACGAGTCATGTTGGTTTTTGGGTTAAATTAAATTTGACCCGGTCAAATTAATCAAACTCGGATCATCATAATCAGATCAAGTCAAATAATATTAATTAATTACTAACGCTAACGATAATATTTTGTAATTAAACTATGAATAATTTTTGCAATACGATTAAATAAAATTGCTTTAAATTTTTTTTTTTCTTTTTACAAAACGATGAGCTTCTAATACAGTACACAAATACTTGCTGAATTTATTCAGTTAAAAGCCCCTAAATGTTGATTGCGATAACGATAATATGAATCATCGAATATACGAAAATAATATGAAAGATACAATTGAAGTAAGTATTGTGGCGGATCATAATGAAATCCAGATCAAAATGAAATTATAATATAAAATCTCGAAAAATAAAATTTTTTGGG